ACACGTGACGAGCAATAAAGTCTTTTTATACAATACACGAGATATTCCTTGCACCCGAAAGCACAACATGGTGGCAGCGTGGTAACGTGCGAACCCGTAACGAAGAAAAGGGACAATCAAAGTCAAGTGCATAATCGCAAAGCAGCGAAGAAAGGTGCAAGATCCGTGTGAGAGGTTAAGTCGACACGATGCCGGGCGGTGAAGGCGGCAGCTCACAGCCCTCGATATACGTGGCGGCAGCCGTGCAATTACCTCCTCCGCCAAATTTCAGTTTCCGATCGGAGGATTGGCAGCGATGGTCCACGAGATGGGAACGATACCGACAAGGCAGTGGCATTGCAAATCAGTCAGAGGAGACGCAAGTTAATTAATTTGTATACTTAATGGGACCGCGTGCAGAAGACATTCTGTTATCATTTAAACTCAGTAATATAGAAGCAAAAAGCTATAAGATAGTACATAAAAAGTTTGAAGAACATTTCGGAGCTCGTGTAAATATAGTATTAGAACGAGCACGATTCAATAGACGCACGCAACAAAACGAGGAAGCGGTAGAGGACTTTATCGCAGATCTCTATCGTTTAGCGGAAACATGTAATTTCGGCACATTAAAAGATGAACTTATTAGAGACCAAATTGTAGCAGGCATTCAGGACCAAAAGCTATCAGAAATATTGCAATGTGACCCTGAGCTCACGCTGGAGAAGGCTGTCATGAAAGTACGAACAAAAGAAGAGGTCAGAACACAACAGGCAGTCTTAAGAGGAACGGAGGTAGCAGCTAACCTCGACAGAGTCAGCAGTTCCCGCGGAACACGTGGCAAACAGTACGCGAAAGGCTTCCAGCGACAGCATAAGAAGGACGAGGCAACAACGGCGAAACGGTGCACCCGATGCGGCACGACACCGCAACATGCATTTTCCTCGTGCCCAGCCAGACAATCTGCATGCAATATTTGTAAAAAGACAGGACATTGGGCGGCGATGTGCAGAAAGAAAGCAGTACATGAAGTGAGTAAAAATGATAGTAAGAATGAAGCAGAAAAAGAAGACGATAAAGAAGATCTCTACTTGGGCGGCGTACAAGCAATAATAAAAAAAGAAAAAGAGGGACAAAGCAAAACACAGAATACCGAAGACAAGAAGCAACAAAGAAACATAGATAGAATAAGGACGAAGACAGCGCACTCCGAACCGCCATGGATGGCGCAAGTAAGCATCAACGGAAAGGACGTATCAGTCAAGGTAGATACTGGAGCTGACGTGACGGTGATAAGTGAAGAACTCTATAGGCAGCATCTAGTCGGCATTGCATTGACAAACGCAGGTAAAGGACTGCAAGTGGGAGACTCAATACCTCTCAACGTGCTGGGTAAGTTGCAGGTTAAAATAGAGTGGAGGAATAAAGCAGCTATTGACCACATATATGTCGTCAAGGAGAACATGCAGCCATTGTTAGGCCGTCCGGCCATTAGAGCGTTAGGCATGTTAGACTGGGTAATAGACATGGTCATTGCTGAAGTAAGTAACGACAAACCTGAAAGTGAATTCAGTAATGTATTTGAAGGGTTAGGATGTCTCAGAAAGTGCAAACCTTACCACATTTGTTTTAAACCAGATACCAAACCGTATGCAGTATCAGTACCTCGCAGAGTTCCATTGCATCTGATGCACAAGGTCAAAGAAGAGCTAGAACGGTTGGAAGAGTTGGGCGTGATCAGTCGAGTCGTCGAGCCGACGGAATGGTGCGCACCGATGGTTGCCGTGCTCAAGGCCAACAAGAAAGATGTGAGGATTTGCATAAACTACACTGAACTCAATAAATGCGTTGTAAGAAACCGTCACATCATGCCGAGTGTTGAAGAAAACCTTGCTCAACTAGGAGAAGCCCGCTGGTTTTCCCTTCTTGATGCGAACAAGGGATATCATCAGGTGCCTTTATGCAAATGTTGCCGACATGTAACTACTTTCATCACGCCATTTGGTCGCTACTGCAGTGATAGACTACCGATGGGTTTGTGTCCCAGCGCGGAGCACTTTCAAGAAAGTATGTCTACAGTATTGGATGGACTACAAAATGTGGTGAACCTATCGGATGACGTTCTTGTTCATGGAAGAACTCTTGAAGAACATGATAAATGTCTGCGTGCTGTATTGCAGCGTCTATCAGAGGCAGGTCTTACGTTAAACAAAAATAAGTGTGTCTTCAGACAAAAGCGCGTAAGATTCTTGGGATACATTGTATCAGCGGATGAAGGCGTGCAGCCTGATCCTGAGAAAGTGAAAGCTATAACCAGCATGAAGAGGCCAACCAACACTAAGGAGGTGAAAAGGTTTTTGGGAATGGTCCATTTCCAGTTGAAGTTTATAGAACATCTTGCGGATATCACCAAACCACTGAGAAAACTGTTGAAGGATAGCGTCGAGTTTATGTGGGAATCACCACAGGAAAAGGCCTTCAAAGAGGTCAAGAAAAGATTGATCGAAGCCCCAGCGCTCGCTCTTTTTAACACAAATAAGAAGACAAGAATTTCGGCAGACTCTTCGTCGTATGGATTAGGAGCAGTCCTGGAGCAATTCGATGAAGAACAAGAAGATTGGAGGCCAGTCTACTATGCGTCTAGAGCTCTATCCGAAACTGAAAAGAGATACGCTCAAATAGAAAAAGAGGCGTTAGCATTAACGTGGGCATGTGAGAAGTTTGCAGCGTTCATCATAGGAGCACCAGACCTTGTCTTAAGGACGGATCATAAGCCATTGATTTCGATTCTGGGATCCAAGCCTATTAGTGATCTCTCCCCGAGATTACAACGGTTTCGAATGAGACTAATGCGTTTTGCTTATATTGTTGAGTATGTTGCAGGGAAAGCTTTGATGACTGCGGATACACTCTCGCGGGCACCGTTGTCAGATGCCCGTGACGCTGAGGATTGCTTGTGTGATGACGGCATCGAAAAGTTCGTACAAGCAGTTGTTAAGAGACGGATGTCCGACCAATTTGCGATCAAAATACGTGAGATGCAAGACAAGGACATGGTCATGCAAGAAGTTTTGAAATATGTACGAGAAGGATGGCCGAGGTATCGCAGAGATGTACCAGAGAAGCTATTACCATATTTCGAGGAAAAAGGTATCCTGACGGTGACACCAGATGGGACCTTCCTATGCGGCACGCGGATACATATCCCAAAAGGTCTACGCAACGAGGTGCTTGAGAGGATACATCAGGGTCATTTAGGAGAGAAGAAGTGTCAGGGACGAGCCAGGCAATCTGTATGGTGGCCAGGAGTCAATGCAGATGTGCGAGCACGCTGCTTGAAGTGCACCATATGTTTGGAACATCGTTTGCAAACCAAGGAACCTCTAATAGTGACAGAACCACCTGAACGACCATGGCAGGAAGTAGCAGTAGACTTCTGTGAAAGAGAAGGAAGACACTATCTGGTGATGGTTGATTATTTCTCTAGGTATCCAGAGGTCGTATACATGTCATCAACTACAGCAGCAAACACGATCGCGAAGATGAAGGATATATTTGGGAGACACGGAATTCCAGAGCAGGTACGCTCAGACAATGGTCCGCAGTTCAGCAGCCAGGAATACAAGCAGTTTGCCGAGAATTTCGGGTTTGCCATAGTTACAAGCAGCCCGAGATATCCACAGAGCAACGGGAAAGTTGAAGCGGCAGTAAAAACAGTCAAGCGCATCTTGGAGAAGGAAACAGAACCTACTCTGGTTTATTGGCATATCGTACTTCTCCTCTGGAAACAGGCAGCAGCCCGTGTGAATTGCTCATGGGAAGAAAACTTTGCACGCCGGTGCCATGTTCGGCGATGACACTAACACCCAAATGGCCTGATCTAAAAGCGTACCGCCAGCAGTTATGGGCGGGAAAGTTTCGCAGCAAACAGCAGTACGACAAGAGACATCGAGTGCGAGAGCTACCAGAATTGATGCCGGGTGAACTGGTGTGGATAAAGGACCAGCAAGCATATGGCACTGTTGTACGTCGTCGTACTGAACCAAGGTCGTATGACGTACGATACCCGGGAGGCTTGTTGCGACGCAACCGGAGTTTTCTGGAATCAACCAGACGAACGATGGAAGACGACGATGAAGATGAAGATGATTGGGGAACAGTAGCTAATGAAGATCAGCCGCGGCAGGAGGCGGATAAAGAACCAGCGCCGGCTGAACAACCGGAACCCTTGCGACAAAGTAGTCGCCAACATAACACGCCGAGAAGATTACATTATCAACAATTAGGGAAACCGACGTGTTAATCAGAGAAAGTAGAGAGGTTTAAATTGGAATTTTGATTTATGTGTTAGTACACCAAAGGTTAGTCTCATCGATTGTAGAATAATCGCGATAGTTTTGTTTGAGCTATACCCTATAAGTTTATATTGAGCAATTTAATTTTCGTTATAAAAAGGGGAGGATGTTGCGCGATGCTTCATTAGAGAAGTCGTAGAGGCGCTGCGAGTTT